TCCATACGGACCCTTACGGACACATGGTGGCGTTGTGAGAGGCTTCTTTGGGTGACGGGACTCCCCGGGAGTTGCCCGGTGGACCCTCAAGCCCGAGACGGTGAGGTTGATGGAAGGGGAGATGGGGCGGGTGGTGAGTCGGTGCAGCTCTCCTTCTAGTGTGATGATGAAATCCAGGTCACCGAACGCGCGCGTGTGCGCCGGGGCCTGTGTGATTGCGTGGGTGGTCATCCGAGACCTGGTTTGGAGCGCGAAAGCCCCTACCGGCGCGGCGCCACCCGCCGGTGTTTCGTACAAGCACCGGCAAGTGAATTTATAGTAATGCGCGTTAGGCTCGGATGGTGGTGCGCTAAAGGACACAGGATTTATCTTTGGTTCGGGCGTAAACGTCCCTACGCCCGGCTTTGTTTTCGCTTGTGTTATTAGCACCGTAACGATCCGTAGTAAGGGATACAACCGCCGAGAGAGGGACTGGTCCCAAGTCTCTCGATCGAAGGATTGAAAGGTGGTCAAGAGCTTCGTCGCCGCTTGAATGTGTGTGAGTGCGTTCTATTGTTTTGTCCTCCTTTTATTCCGTCCCCTTTGATGGAAGAAGCGCATCCCCTTTATAGACGAAGGGCCGGCTTTACAAGGGTAAGGGCTCTAGGACGCGTACTCTACTTAGTCTTGTGGCTCACGCTCACACGGTCGTGTCCTCCACTCGATGAGTGCGAAGGAAGATAAGTGTTTTACAATGTTGTCGATGTCTCAGAGGATGTCGGGTTAGTCACAGTAATGCCGCCTGCTGCAGGTATGGGCTGCTGAGATGCTGGTTTTGACTTATGAGCCTCCCCACCTTGCTCCGCACGCCTTGAGTTCTCATGAGTCCTCGTTGGGAGAATGCGGGTCGGGGTCCGGTGTAACGCCATGGTTAAGGCCTTCGATGGGAAGACCGAGGGGTCGGGAAGCGGGCGCCGCTCCTCGGGTCCACCGTGTGGTGACGGAATACCCATCGTTCGTGGAGATAGCAAATCCTTTCCGGAGCGTAGCGGTTGTCGTATATCTTCGCCGGGTTCCGTGTCCCAGAGGCAAGGCGGCGCCTACAACTCTACAGGTGAGGTGCACGACCTGTAATACCTTTTGGGCTCTGGCGCCGGGAGGGTCTAAAGCTTCGATCCTGTCGTTCCTCGGCGGTCCTTTTTCGCCAGGCGCAGGTATGGTCGTTGGAGCCATGGTTGACCCGAACGTCTTGTCTCGCCCCTGCACCCATTATTATGAGGGATAGATATCGATCGAGGCGAGGCTCGCTCGGGCCGTCGGGTGGTGACCCCGCCCCCGGGTCGGGCGAGACGGAATCCATCCTCGGCCCTCGGGCGAGGCCGAGCCCGCCCTCAAGGCGTCGGGCGAGGCGGAGTTTATCCTCGGCCTCGGGCGAGACCGAGCCCGCCCTATAGGCGTCAGGCGAGACGGAGATTAGCCTTGAGCTTTTGGGGGCGGCGGGGTTATCCTACAAAGGTGTCGGGCAGGTCGACCCCGCCCCTCCGGGGTCGGGCGAGACGGAATTCATCCCTCAGCCCTCGGGCGAGACCGAGCCCGCCCTCAAGGCGTCGGGCGAGGTGGAACCGAACTCCTGTTACTCGAACAAGGGATGACATGGAGCCCTTATGCATCTAGAAGTTTTTCACGTTCGGTGGTCATCGGTTCCACCTTCTGGGGTACCCTGGTATTAGATCCCCGACACCACTCATGGTAGTTGGTCTTGGTCAGCATCGGCCACGGCGTGCTCACACCGGAGTCCTTGTACACTGTCTGGACGGCCGCAGGTGACCCGCGACGGTGCTCCGACAACAGTGAAGGTATGCGGTGCCGTACCGGGCTCCGCGATCCTCTGGGCTGCTGCTCCATCTCTGCGCATAGCTCGGTAGCTGTGTTCGCTGTAGCCTGGGCCGCTGGCGCTGCCTGCCTGGCCGCCTCGATCGCCTACGTGGCTACGGCCTCAGCCGCGGCCAAGCGCTGAGCGCTATCGGCGTCCGAATAGGGGTTGATTACCGCCCCTCTGCCGGCGTTGGCTGCGGCGGCTGCACGCAGAGCGCGCTCGCTGGAGGTGGACATGGCTCTGCTCTGCTCTAACCAAACCTAGGCTCTAGATACCAATTGTTGGACAGGTAACTAAGAATACAAGTAGAATTTCATCTACCAGAGGGCAGCTTGGCCATAGGCCGCTTCATTGTATTAAATAGAAGTAGCAAACTTGGGATACAAGAAAGTCACAACCACTACAACATATTCTAACTGCATAAAGCAGATGCTACCTTGGATGTTGATGCATCTGATAATTGCTAGACAGTGAATAGTAACTAGCCTAGACAGTGAATAGTAATAAATAGCTTAAATTGATAAAACTAGATAAATTGAGGTATTAGCACTAGGCTTAACCCTCAGTGACTGCTTTAATTCAAGCCACAACTGTCTGAACAACTATTTGGTTGGAGGGCAGCTTGAGTTGCCTGGGAAAAGTGTTGCCCGGAGATTGCCTAGAATTTTGATGTTTTTGCCTTGCGAGACAAACTTGAAAAAGTCTGTTTAGTTGGAGACTTGGACTTGAGATTGGATTAAGTGGTATATGTCTTATTACTTATTGTTGGACTTGAGATTGTAAGTGGTATATGTCTTATAACTTATTCTGTAAACACAAGCACTAGTTCGAATTATTTGTAGCTTAACTGAACTTAGGCAAATACACATGTGATTTAAGGATTACATAAAAAGACAATCAGATGAAAAAGATGGTAGTATCAACCCTCTCATATGAATCCTTTTCCCATTGTTTATTTACAAAGCAAAAAACACTTGATAGAGAACTGAAAAGAAGAACATAATTTGAACTTGTGATTAGTGCAGGTTTATTGGTGCACGTTTTCCATGGAATTTCGTGCACAAGGTACCAGCTAACACAAAGTATAGCAAAAAATAAGGCAACATGCGATTAGACCGGTGATTAGTCTAAGCAAGCCAGCAGTTGCATCCCCAGGTGACCGTTTTCGTGCGCCTGAGCCTAGCAGCTGCACTCCCTATATATGTAGATACTCGTTTAGACACACAAAAGCACATGTACCCCATATGAATACAAGACCAGTGCATTTTGATGATAGTCGATAGACAGTTTGTCTACTACTAAATCAATAATTAGTTGCAAACGTACGAGCAGTGTCTGTTTAGTTAGCTGTTTATCCCGTTTAATCACCGTTTGGTCTGTTTAAGTGGCTATTTAGCTTGAATAAATAGCTAAACAATTGGTGACCATTTAGTCTGTTTAAAGGTTTAGGCTAATACTGTACATAGAAGACTTAAACTTGGTACGTTGGAGTGAAAATAAACTTACCAGCTAGCTAAGTTGGATGGGGTAAGTGACAGCTAACAACCCCGGAGTTAACGACGTCATTTTGAAGAAAACGGAGGAATGTCCCTAGCTTCTTGAATTGAAATGGTTGACTTTTAAGAAAAAACTTCGGGTTTGAAATTTCAACCGATCGATTAGGTAGCTACGGTGAAATGTACTCACTCCGTCCCAAAATAATACAATTCTAGAACAGTATCATATTTTAGTATACCAAGTTTAATAAATTATAAATAAAAAAGTATAAATATTTATAATATCAAATAAATATTATTAGATTAATTATAAAATGTATTTTTATAATAAATTGATTTGACGTCATAAATGTGAATACTATTTACTGAAAACTTGGTCAAACGTGAATTACTTTAACTAGCACGTATACCATAATTGCATTCTTTTATGCTAGTTCCGGTATGGGTTTCATGGTCCAGTTATCAACGCACTCATATTTTGAAAAACAGTGCTGAAGAGTTTTATCCCCATGAAACTATCTCTACTCATATAAAACTTTCTTCATCTCTCTTCATCAATACAGTGCCATTTCAACACATTTAATGCCCATGAAACTTTCACGTAAGGATGAAAAATAAAAATGGATATCCGAATTATCCGATATCCGTATCCGCTAAAACTTATAATATGGATATCCATATTCGTATCCGTTTCTAATGTGGTAACTAAATGGATATATCCGAATTTGCTTTTTGCTTTTCAGTGTTTTCTCTATCCGAGTTTCTCTTCCGATTATTTAATTTTATTGTTTAATGATGGATCCATTTAATAGTATATCTAGAAATAACTTTTAGTATTAATTTAAAATTATTAAGGATACATAAAGATTAAATTAATTTTATATTTTTCTAATACGATTCTTGTCTATGTTATAATATCTACTTGTGTAGTAATTTTGGAATTCTAAAACAGTATCCTAGGAGATTATCAGGTGCATACTTCAATTTAGTGCACTTTTTATTATGTATCCTAGGATGACAAATTTACACTTGTTTTATGTCCTTCTGAACTATTTGTATTTATATTGTGGTGGTTACTTGTTGTTGTTGTTGCGGGCAACTTGTTTCGGACAGGCAAATGCTAAAATGGTTGGTTGTGGCTTAAAAAATCATCTTACATGGTGGTGGTGGATTGACATACAAGGAAGCCCTACCTGCAGCGGTGCTGCCTTCCTCCCCCCAAACATTCGCTTCGCCCTGATCGTCTCGCCTTCAATTCCCACCCATTTCTCCCCTTTTCCTGCTGCTGCCACTGCCAGCGCCCAATCCAATCCCTACCTGCCCGGAAGGAACCACCCGTCTGTTTGCGTCAAAGCCCCCGAACCCCCGCGCGGCGCACAACCTTGCCACGATCGCCCGCGGAACCTCCCGCTAATTGGGTCTCTGAAAGCTCGATCTGTTGCGAGCCGAACTGCTGTACCAGCAGGTCAACTACGGCAACGTCGATGGCATTCGCACGCTCCGGGGCAGGGCGCTGGTCTTGAGGGGCTAGGGATGACAAATTTACACTTGTTTTATGTCCCTCTGAACTGATTGGGTTACTGTTGTTGTTGTTGCGGCAAATGCTTGGTTGGTTGTAGTGGATTGACAAGGAAGGCAAGACACCCCTGATGCTTGCCTGTTTGCGGCCCGATCTGTTCGACGTGGCCAAGGTGCTGATCGAGTTGGGAGCCAATGTGAATGCCTACCGGTCTGGTATTCTTCTCATCATTCTTATTATCGACTTGTTACTTTTTTTAGTTTGCTTCTATCTGTGAAATCAGCTCAAGTCAAAAGTTATCTGGCTCACTGAGCAAAAAGTAATTTAATTGGGCTGTAAATTGTGCGTAGATTGGAAACAAAGCGGCAGTTTAAAGTTAGTAAGGTGCTTAAACTTCTCATTCGAATAGGCAATTAGGGTAGATTTCAGGCAACTAAGACAAGGTTTATCTCAGCATTCACTTTACATAGTATCGTGTATTATATGTTCTGTCAAATCAAATCAGAACATCACAGTAATACTGTATTGGTACACATCTTTCAAACTCTGTTTCAAATGAATGTTTGACGTGATCCATCCAAGTTGCTGACACTGTTATGAACCATCCCTGGACGCATGCTTAATTGAAGAGGAGGCTGTGCTCGTTATTATGTTCTGATCACCACCTTTTTGCCATTGCCAGGGTCACATTGTGGGACAGCATTGCACCATGCTGCCAAGAAAGGGCTTCAGCAGACTGTCCATTTACTACTCTCACATCGAGGTATATGATGAACAATACTATGAAACGCTTCATTCATCTCTTGTTTATTGTTGTAGATCTCTATTAAATGCATATATTGCTACATTCGCGCAGCTAATCCGTTCATACCAAATGATGATTGCAATACTGCCCTTGAATTGGCAAGAGAAAAGGGTCATGTGAATGTTGTACGTGCCATAGAGGTATATTTTTCTTTGCTGTCCTATTTTTGTATATTATAATACTTGTGGAGTTTATTCATATTTATTTTTTAATATTTGTCACTCAATTAATTTTAGGGACGGCTTTCTCTTTTTTGTGGATGGATGAGGGAGAATTATGCTCCTGCTTTTTTGGATGCAATTGCTCCACAGTTCATGACAAGAAAAATGTAATATTTTCATTTATGTTGGCACATCTGGATACATACATATAGCACAGTTGTGATAATAATTGTGCTGTGTGTTTTATGAATTCTAATCCTTACCTTCTCTTTCCCAGTTGGGCTGTTATTTTACCCCGTGAAGTGCGAACTCCAACAAGGCCTCTTAAGTTAGAGTTAGCTATATATCCTGAATTACAGGTACTGATAGGAACTTAAAGTTTGAATGTGTTCTGCTTTGTTTTTCAATTATTATGTAGTTACTGTTTATGGTGATGGATATGTTGACATATCTCCTACACATTGAATTCCTATGCTATTTTTGTAATTGATTATTATTTACTTGGGTTAGCAATGGCATTACTGCCTCTCTCGCCTTTAAAATGTATTCCTTCTCCCATGTCAGGTTCTGTAGTACCATTTATCAAATATTTGAAACTTGTGTATAATTGCTGCTAAATGCTCATGGAGTTCTGTTTGGAGGAAACTGAACTTTAACTACCTGTACATTTTTGCCATTTCACACTTTAATTGAAAGGAGTGGAACTCTGGTGCCTTTGGCTTGTTGCATCTTGGTAGCAATGGTCAGACAATACAGCTGGCATTGCTTATTTGAAAATGAAAAGGGCTAAATACTCTGTGTGTGGGACTATTTTGATCAAGCTCATGCATGTGCATTTCCCCCTTTTTCCTTGCTTGACTAAGTTGACAACTTTTGAGTATAAGGGTTTGTTTGGCTGCACTTCAATCCACCCCAATCCACATGTATTGGGGTGGAAATTAACTAGTTTTCCACCCAATCCACCCCAATACATGAGGATTTGGGTGGATTAGAGTGCAGCCAAACAAGGCCTAAGCGGGAATCTAGGGGGTAAACGGTAAAACACTGGTGCTTCCATTTTCTGTTATTACAGTTCGCATGTGCAATCATTTCCTTTGTTTTTTACAGTAGTATTCTGCTCAGCAATTAGCAGTAAATGCTGTCCTTCTTTTGTTGAAGCTGATATTTTTCTTGTAAAATTTTGATGGCTCTATGCAAATTATTATTGTTTGTGATATTCCTTTTCTTAATGAACATGCAGGCTTCTAAACCACGTGCTGTACTTAAACTATGGAAATGTCAAATTGAGCAACCAAAGCTTAATCAGGCTGACCCTTCCATTATCATTTTTGACAAAGGAACAAGTATGTACCATGTTTAGTTTTCAATCTATAGATTTGGCAAGTTAAATGCTTGTTTATGATATTGGCTACTTGCTTTGTTGATATGGTTTACATTGTAGTGTGTACATGATGCTTACATATATTTGCTGTTTTCTTGAAAAAGTGCCTTGTGTTTTTGAAGGTTCTGTTCGCTTGCTCGTAAATGATCGTAAATTTCCAGCCGGGAACAGTGTTTTCCTCTCACACCAAACCAGCCAGCAGTAAATAATCCACGATACGATACGGCCTCCCGAACAGGCTGAATGTTGCCAACTCACTGGTTCGTGTTCAAAGTTAAATGAGTATGTGTTGTTTTATTTGGTACATTCCAACTGAGTTTGGACTAGGAGACATGTTTTGTCATGTAACTCATGACTGCATATATCTCTGCCTGCAGAATATTAAACAGCATGAATTGTTACACCCATATACATATACAAATGTATGCTCGATCACTCCTTTACTCTTCTATAAGCAAGCGGCCGATTATCTTAGTTGTCCTTAAGGTCCAACTTAGAGGCCATGGATAAAATCTAACACAAATCGACAATTACAAGCCTATCATTCTATTTGTAGGACTCACGCTGTGTCTGTTTGGCTACAAGCAACCATTAGGCTTACCAAAACAGTTTAAATTAACAAATTCTCAGCTGTTGATGTTCTTTCATTAGACTTATTTAAGGAAGAAACCTTGAATGTGAAAATGGCGATGAGCATCAAATTGTACTGTGTAACGTAAAATAACTAATATATGTGCTCACTGGGGATCAATATACTTCAACCATATACCCTTTATGAATCTATACCAGGACCATAAATCATGCTGCAAGAATCTCATTACGAATATCATTCTTATGTTCTTATCCATCCCCTTTATCTTTTGCTAATATTCAAATTTTTGGTAATAGAAACTTGACAACATTATTATCAGTAGCAAGGCTGCAGCTAACTTGATTCATTTCCTTTGTTGTATGGATCCGCTTAATCACTGCAGTAGTTCTTCTGTATGTTATTTCTGAAATGTGAATAATTGTGTGTTACTATTGTTTCAATTTCTGTGCAAAATTTTCTTTATGAACCTTGATCTGAGTAATGCACATTTCTTTTGATTTTTTTGCAATATCTTGTCTTGCTCATGACAATCAGTTAGTCTCGTTTATGAGCATACATTGGTTTCTCCCAAATCCGTCCAAGAAAAATAGGTAGCCATTCCATTGCTAAATTTGACTGAAATCTTCTTGCAGAGACTCGATACAAGATCTTACCGGCCTATGAAGGTGACAAACAGCAGCTTCAATGGTTTTATAATGCATGTTGTGGCATGGCACAGGTAACTGCCCAGAATTTTTTTCTTGCTCTTTTTTTTTTATTTGTGGTACATCCTTAAGATCTGGACAATTCTTTCTTCTATTTTCTTAAATAAATTCGGTTAAATGGAGGCATGTCCTTGAACAATATTTGCTCGAGTTTTTTTTCAATAAGATGCTCGAGGTTGAGGTTGTTTCAATGAATAAGAAGTTACTGGATTTTTATACAGAAAACAGTAACAATAATAATATATCCCTTCTTTTTAGGTTTTCAACACGGCTCCAGTACCACCAGCAAATCTCCCAATGCCAGATCCAGCGCCAGCAATTTCATCTGTGGCGCCTTCAGAACTATCTGCACCCAGCAAGGAGGATGTTGAATTAGCAATGGCTATCAATGCCTCCATTCAATCAGCTATTGCAGAGGGAGTGCCCAATGTTCAACCAAATGCATCCACTCCCAACAACAATGTCTGGGGTATCCCTCCAAGAAATTCTCACAACGGATGGGGACCACCAGTCACTCCTGCACCGTCAAAGACGAGCGGCCAATCCCAAGCCCGGGTAGATGCCCCAAGCAGCAGCACGTACAATGGATGGGATGTGCCTGGAACAAGCTCGAAACCCCACAAAACCGAAACCAACCCTCCAGTCTTGATTCCACAGGAAGCACTTCAGGCTCTTCCAACCCCAACTGCGCCACCATTCGCTGAAGAAACCTTCTACAATGGTCCTGTTCACTATCCATCCATAGACTCCACGCCTGTTGATGTAACCATGCCGGCTACCACCGGAGGCGGTACAGCAGCAAGTATAACGGCAGCACCTCCGAAACAGAAGGGAAATGAAGCTGATGCAAGCGACAGCGGCAAAACTTCCTCCAGTACTTGTGTTATATGTTTGGATGCCCCTGTGGAAGGCGCCTGCATCCCATGCGGTCACATGGCTGGTTGCATGTCCTGCTTGAAGGATATAGAGTCGAAGAAGTGGGGATGCCCTATCTGCCGTGCCACGATTAACCAAGTTGTTCGGCTCTATGCTGTTTGAGGAGTTGAAATGGTGGGTCCGGAAAGTCGTTTCCATCTCAAAATTGTGCAAGTATGCACTGCAAAATATGATTTCCATGTAATGTATGTGGGCTGGCGCCTTATGTACATAGGTACTCCATACAAGACAATTCTATAAAAAAAGAAGTATTGTTGCAAGTTGCAACTCACGTTTACAGTTGCTGGAGCTTTTTCAATAACCAAGATAGTGGCATCGCCGGATGCTCGTCTCATCAGTTAAAGCGTGTTGCAATGAATTAAGCCGTAGAATGGCTGTTGCTCTCTTCGAGCCTAAATAAAATTACACCATTGGAAGTTTGGAACCACGATCAAAATTTTGTTCTGCATATAATACATTTTATTCCGAGCTTGTAAACACCCCCACCAAGCCACCACCATCACTTTTTTTTTGTGCTAGCTGAGGTTCTGTACATGCATCATTATATTTACCGAGCTTGAATAGGCTGAATTGACAAACATGGTATCGGAAACAGAATAAATCATGAGAAATAAATATACTGCAAAAGTTTAGCAATCCTGAAAAATGTGAGAATACAAGTAACACTTGTTCATTTCGAATATATATTACTCCATGATATAAATCATGAAAGTTTGTTGTTATTTTAGATAAATTTATATTTTTAACTAAAATATTTTAATATATCTAAGTTGATAGCTTAATTGTAAAGCATTCTATGTTTATAAAAAATACAACTACACCTAAAATATTTGACAGAGGAAACTCAACGTATTACGTGCACGCTAACACATCATTTGTTCCCACCGTATAGAGATTATAGTACGTATATGTGTCTCCTAATAAGATTCTAGTACGTGACAAAGTATAATTTATATACGAGATAACAGGTCAGAAATATCTCGCACAAAGTATAATTTATATATGAAATCTTGAACAAGATAACAGGTCAGAAAAGCGGATCAATATTACATACAGAAAGAAACAGAGAAAAGAATGGCATTTGTGCGTGCACACCCACTCCTGAGAACGCTAAATGTTCGTGACCTTGAACTCCCTCCCCAATGCATGTGCCCTTCTGATGAGTACCATGTACATATATATCGATCGACCGCCACTTGATCTTACGAATTGGGCTCAAAGTACTTTCCGGCATCTTGATTTCATCTCCAAAATTAAGTTCGTATACGAGGCCGCAGCCGCTTGGATTATCACCACCCTCTAGTCGTCGTCCACGGCGGGTGGGGTCGCCGCCGCCGCCCCCTCCTCCGGCGCGGCCGTGGTGGCGTCCTTGGCCGCGGCGCCACCGTTCCCCTCGGAGCTGCCCTTGTTTTTCCGGCGGTTGGACTTCTTGGGGACGGCGGGGAGGTCCTGGCAGGTGGCCGAGGCGTCGTCGCCGCCCGACTTGTCCTTCTTGCGGTTCTTGCGGGTGCCCTTCTTGCCCTTCTCCTTCTTCTCCTCGGCGCCCTCGGCGCCGGTAACGTCCATGGAGGAGGTGGCGGAGCCCCGAGAGCGGTGTCGTCTCGACCGGCGGGTGCCGGGGGACGGTGGGGAGTCGCCGCCGCCGACGTCGGCGCTGCCTGCCTCGCTTTTCGTGTCCCTGAAGGAGGTGTCTCCGATGCTGCTTCCTCCATCCATGACTATCTCTGTTAGGCACATATGATAGTTCAGTCCATATCTTTGTGCACAAACCAAAGCATTAATTAATTAATAATCCCTTGGTGCATAGTATATGTATGTATTGTGTTCCTTTGGAAGGTAATTTCTTATGATCATCATTCTGCACGCATTACTTCAAATTTCAGACCAAGTTTGGCTTTGTTTCTGCTAAAATGTATTTCTCTCTTTTCTGTATCATCAAGTAATTTTCTTTAAGGCGACTTCATTGCTAGCATACATGCAACTTCCACAACAACAATGACATGATCAATTGAGGGTTTGCAACAAGAGGATGACAAAGAAGAACAAGTTATATATATGAGTGTCAAAAAACAACCTTGAGAAGCCCAGGGATTTGCAGCAGCCGTGCCCCCACTCTCGCTCCTAAAAGAGGACGAGTCAAGCGGTGCCGAATGGTAATCCTTCATCTGTCAAAGCCAACTTCTTTTGTCATGCTACAATATCCACTATTATGGTTGAATTTTTTTACATAAAATTGGACTCTTGCGCTGTTTTGCTACATGGACATAACTATATATTATGATTGAGTATCTTACTGTCTTCAGGTCAACAAGGAAGACATTGTTAGAATCAAGTAGACAAAAAGATTGTCTGCGCATATGTTAAACATTTTCTTTGCTCTATGCCATTGTCAAATATTGTTGCCGGCTTACCCAGCTAGGTGCTCCTCCGGCATTATTGTTGTTGTTGTTGTTGTTGTTGGAGCCAGGACCATCCCAACCGATGTGTGCCACATGTTTTACATCCGTTGGGAACCCAATTTGCATTTCAGGCTCCTTACCATCTTGTGGTCGCAATTCAGTATGAAATGAAATGATGAGGTCAATGCCACCCGCGCTATGAAAAATCAGTGTAAGGTCAATGAATAGTGTGATTGGGCATACCCATCATGTTTGAGATATAGCGGAACGGCTTCAGGATCCCCTTCTTCATCTTTGTGCCCATGTTTCTTCTCTTAAACCTTGCTTATATTAATGTGGATGCACGCACTCTTCTTGAACTCGCAAATTGCTGATCGGATCAATCGACAAAAAATACAGTGAAACGATACGATTGACCAAAAAGAAAAGAAAAGAAAAGCCTATACATATTCATACTAGATGTTATGTATAAAATTGAACAGAATGTCGCATTGGAATGCTTACTCTGCTGGGAACCTTAAACACTGTTAACAAGATTGTCCAAATGCTGGCAATTCTTGTTAACTGGTTCTCAACCTTCCTCAATGCGCCAGTGCCATTCTTCTCCCCTCTCAGTCTCTTTCTTTGTAAAGGCTAGCTCAATATTGTCTAGCCTCAGGCATTGCCAAAATATGATTCAGAAACTTACACTGACCGCAGCAGATGGCCCTTTGCGGTCAATGTTACTTCGAGGGTGAGAAGAGGAGATCTATCTTATGCCTAATTTTTTGGAGGGTCAAGAACCCTTTGAGCTCTTCTCCTAATATTATTCAACCATGCATGGGCGTAGGAAGAGGCTACCTGTCCTTTTCTTTTGGCTATTTAAGGAGAAGACGGTTATGGGAAACTGGATGGAGGATGCAGACGAGTCTATCTAAAGATAGGCATTTGGGCAAAGATGTCAGTGCTAGAAATAATGCGTGGTTGTTAATTTTCACCGTCTCGGCCCCGTTCGGCTGGTAGAATTTTGGCTGAAACTGGATGAAAACACTGTTTTTGCTGAATTGTTGTGAGAGAAAAACACTGTTCCGGCTAAAAAAAGAAATCGAACAAGCCGAATATGGAGTAAGCCGAACGGAGGCGCATCACATGATTTTGGCGTTTCAACTTTTATATGCACATGTTCTACTTCCGTCCATCCGTTGGGCCATGTTTATGGAAAATGTATTGGCACTTATTAGAACATCAAATTTGTATGACTAAATTTTCCATGAAGTATGTTTTGATAGAACATTTATTTGAACTTGTAAATGTTAATACATTTTTACATAATTTGGTCAAAGTTAGAGAACTATGCCTATTTATTCCATTGTTTGGTTAAATCATGCTATGTTTATTGATTTGAAATTCAAAGACAAATTTGCAACTACTAAGTCAATAAAACAACATTGTTGTAGGCATGATTGTGATGCTATATACTCTTCTCATTTAATTTATTCTATTCAAAGTCTAAGATATACTTTTTTATAATTGTTTTAATTTTTAAGCCATGAAACAATGGTAGTTTGAAGGACTTACAAAAGTATATCTAAGTTACAACCATGTATACAAAATATACATAATTACTGCCTCCGTCCCAAATTATCCGTCCCAAATTATAAGTCATTACAAGTTTTTTTGAGAGTCAAACCATCTCAAAGTTTGACCAAAATTATAGAGAGAATTACAAATATTTATGACACCAAATAGGTATACTTTGAAAATATAATTAATGAAGAATCTAATGATACTTATTTGGTATCATAAATGTTATTTTTTTATTATATAAATTTGGTCAAACTTGAGATACTTTGATTCTCCAAGAAAGTTAAAATTACTTATAATTTAGAATGGAGGGAGTATTATTTATACAAAGCCAGAAGAAATGAGAACCTTACTACTTGCTAGTCATCGGTGGCCAATCCACCAGGGTAGAAGGGGGCCATGCCAACCTTTGAAAGTCCAGTGTGGTTTTGATAATTGAGTGATAACTTAGGTAAACTAATTACTTTCGTGTAAGGTGAATAGATGCTTAGTCCAAAAGTGAAGTTGGACATCATAGTGGCTATGAAGGAGAGATGGCATGGACATGTGTTGAAGTGCTTAACGTGATGAAGATGGAGATGATGATGGATGGACATGGAAGTGTTGATGCTAGTGTTGACGCTTAATTAGATCACTACATCGAGAAGGAGCTGGATCACTCAATGTAGAGTCTAGCTAACTTCTAGGACAGCTAGCGCCTAGGGTTGTTCACACTCGAACCTGATGCCTCCAGCGATGAGCGCGATACACATGACACGTCGCCAGAGGAGCCTCATCAGTAGTGCAGTATGCAAGACAATGCTGATGAGGTCTCATGAAACTCGAAACCCCACACACCCTGGAGGGATCCGTCGGGGGTGTGCAGCAGCTATGCACTGCCCTAGCCGGCCTGACCGCTCTAAAACTTCGTCTTCGTTGATCCACCAGCCATGCAACGTCGATGAACAACAAGAGAAGTAGATGGTAAAAGAGGGTAAAGAGAGGTAGTAGATTGATTTTTGTGTCGATTGTGTGTGTTGGGCATCACAATCGTCCGTGATCCTTATATTTATAAGGATAGGGTGGTCTTATCCATCAAGAGGTCGAAACCCTTTCCAAAACATGTCAAAGCACAAGTTAAATCCGAACTGGACCGTAGAAACCGGCCTGGCAGGTTTTCATATACATCCAGGGTAGAAAACCTTCCAAAAATCGTAATAAATTTATCCAGACTCTAAACGAGGCGACCCATATATGTTTTTCGATTAGCTCGATAAGAGGAACGCAATGGTGAAACCCATTCCTCCATTTGAGGAGGTTGGAAAATCCGGCCTAGCCGGTTTCAGCTGGTCGCCCCTCCCCCCGAAAAAAGTTGTTTTCTTGGTCAGAGCTCCAAATGAGATGATCCAAATATGTTTTCTGACTGTCTCGACGATAGACACATGATGGAGAGTTCATTATGCACTTTGGACAATTTTAGGTGTCAACACATCCCCCCCCCCCCATTTTTAGTAAATCTTGCGTACTAAAAACATCCCCGTCAGACTCAAAACTCAGTTTCTGCTTTGAGGTGACTTCTACTTCCCACGTTCACTGATATCTTCTGTTTGCTGTCGTGAACTTTTTCAAAGTGATGTCCTTAGCTTCTTTCATCAATTCTTGCATATGCACAAAGCGATCAATTGCCACTATTAAGATAATTCTGACGTTGCTCCCAAAACTGAGTTTGACACAATCAATTTGCAGTCCTTGTGCTGCCCCTCAATAAAACAAGATTACTAAATTTAGTCTCCCAACATGTATGAATTAGCATATTGTCTAAATAAATGAATTGGATATCCTCCCAAAAAGACCATAGCTTGACAATATGATGTCCTAGAAGAATACCTCACGCGTTGTTGTGGGACTTTCTCATAAATAAATTTGTTGCATATATATAGCATTACTATATGGTACCATAGCTACTATGTGTATATATATGAGTTTGGTTTATAAGTTATTTTATTGCAACGGATCTGGTAAAAATCAGTACAAGAAAAGCTAATAGAATATTAGATTACATTTTAGAAGGACAGGATGATGAAAAAAATAACATATGTACATGACTTATATGATGATAGATTATAAAAGATTAAAAGTAATACACATAATGAGATGACATGGACAATTTTTATAATTAATAAGGGATAACATGGATAGCTTGCATGAAAAAAAAATTGTAAGTTAGTGAGACAAAATGATGTGGACACCTTGCATGAAGAGATAAAACATGTAGTGAGGTTTAGCTTTATTAGAGACACTTAGCTTGTATGAAAAAATTGCAAGTTAGTCCACCACGACCTCTCCCTTCTTCTTCCACTACACGCTATGCAGCCGCGCTCGACCTCTCCCTCGTCTCGACCCCGGGGAGGGACGAGGAGAGATCGGACGCGGTCAAGTACGCCTGCCCTGGCAAAGACAAGCACGCTCCACTCACTCCGCCAAGGCTGAAAGGATAGCCATCTCAGAGGCAGACGCCATCCCTACGCGCCCCTACGCAGACAAGACAACACCGCCAGGTGGTGACAACCGGTACGGCACCGCACCGTTCAAATCCAGCTTGACAAGATGGGCATACGGCCCCACCCGCTACAGGATGGGGCGCACGACCCTGGCCTTGACTTTCAAGACCGGCCAGGCCACCAGGGACCTTGACCTCGCAATCCAGGGTCGAGGCCATAGGCATCATGACCAACAAAGGCGACCGACGACCCGAGAGCGGCTACCTGCTCCCGCACTGTCACCACGACGCCACCGGGAGAACAGGAGACGATGACGAAGGCCACAGCAAGACCACGTCACGTAGGATAGTTGGTGAACCACCACCGCACCAATAGTGACGTCACGATCGACACTGTAGCATCACGGCACGCCACGCCGTGACGTGGAAGCAAGACCACAGCGACCAGGACGATGACCATACCTGAACGTGGATGACGGCAGGACAAGATAGGCTTGCTTGCAGGCCAAGTTTACTTGTTTCTCCCTCCCTCTGGCTCACGACCGCTCGGTCGAAAGAACCCCTCTCTATATGTAACATGGACCCTGAACTCTATATAAGGGCGGCTAGGCCTCCCTTCCGAGGGGATGAACTCTCGAGACTTCATTCGGTTATTCGTTCACCTCACTCCTACTACCTTATTCCCTTCGCTTACACACCCTATTGTAAAACTTCAGAGCACTTGAATCGAGTAACACGAACTCGAACTATCTCTGAGACTGGACGTAGGGCTCCAGCCTGAACCAGTATAATTTTCTTATGTCTTTGAGTACTACCATCGTCTTACTAGAGCAGCGCGACACACGTATAAATTCGCTAGTCGGTTTACAAGACACCGACAAGAGTATATAGATATAGATAGATTAAAGCGTGGCAAGCTTCTGGTAGATATCATCATCCTGAATTCAAGCATCTCAACAACAAGCATTCAGCAAAAAGTCAATCCAAATAACCATTGACCAGAATAGAGTTGCTTGCCAATTGCTAAATACTTTTATCAATTTTAGCACTTGGATTACTTAAATAATCCATAATGGGAGTCCTGCAATTATCCAAATCGGCTCAAGTTCATTGGAGTAAAATTTGAGCCAATTTTAAGCCCACCGATGTCAAAGTCAGATGCTTATTGAGCTAACATGTTAGCCTTATTTTTTCATGCCTTGGAATATACGAATTCGAAACAAAGAATAGAGAAAAAGGAAGGAAGGAAAGATTTGAGAGAA